TAACCAAATGAGTGGCCCTCCTCTGAACCCTTTCCAGGTTATCCACATCCCTCCTGAAGTGCAGTGACCAAAACTGGACACAGTACTCTACCTGTGGCCTGAACAAAGCCGCATGGAGAGGAAGTATCACCTCCCTAGACCTGTTTGTGATGCACCTATTCATGCAAGGAAGAGTGCGGTTAGCTTTACTTATTACCTCATCATATTGGTGACTCATGTTCATTTTGGAGTCGACTACGACTCCAAGATCCCTTTCCGCAGTTGTGCTACTTAGAGTGGTCCCTCCCAGGCTATAGGAGTGCTGATGGTTCTTCCTCCCCAGGTGCAACACGTGACACTTATGCTTGTTAAACTGCATCCTATTCTGTTCTGTTCACCTCCACAGCATGTCCAAATCAGCCTGGATTTGCTTCCTGACATCTAGTTTGTGTACCTCCCCTTGGACAAGGTGCTTTCTACTCCCTTGTCCAAGTCACAAGTGCTCAAACAGTTGTGCCAGCAGCTCCGCTACGACTCCAGCTAATTCCCTAAGTACCCTAGGATGAAGATCATCAGGTCCTCTTGACTTGAATACATTCAACCCCTGCAGGTGCCCCTTTACTATGTCAGCATGAAAAGTTGGTGGGTTGGTATCTATACTGGGCTTACCTAAAGTCCCAATGGGATGTGTATTTGTATTCATGTCCAGGAACATGGATGCAAAGAAATCATTTAGAAGCTCCACTTTGGCCATCCTATCTGTTACTAGTTGCCCTAGTTCATCCTGAAGGGGCCCTAAGTTACCCTGCACCTTTTTTTGCTTCCTATGTACTTAAAGAATGGCGCTTTGTTCTCCTTTACTGTTGCTGCCAGCCTAAGCTCCATTTCTGCTTGGGCTCCCCTCACTGTTTCCCTGCAAGCTCAAGCCAAGCAGGTATATTCCTCCCAAGCAGGTATACTCCTCTTCTTCTTTACCTTCTTTACCTCTATGCAGTTAGTAACTGTGGGTGCAACTACACAAGATGCTAACTGCACGGTAGCCTAATAATACTGCACAGTAGTGCATCACAGCACAGACAGTGCTAATATGCTACTGCACAGTATTATTAGGCTAAAAAAGTGTATGCAATAACTCCAGTTACTGCCTATTTATTTAGTACTTGATTATACAAATACTAAATTAAATGCACAGTAACGACTGCGCATTAATGAACATGTAGACATGCCTTGTGAGTACGTTTTATTTGCATTGTGAGTTCAGGGCTTTGCTCTCACTGGTGCTGTGCACACACTTTATGGAAAGACAGTGGCTGGCCCTGAAAGCTGACAGCCTATGTGTGTGGGAGACCTTGGGTGGAGAGAACAAACAGATGTGGGGAGTGCAAGGGGGCAGCAACAATAATGAGCAGTGGACGTAGCTTGCCAGCTCGTCCTATCTTGAACCAAGATTTATTCATTGCTCTCCTTGTATTTGTCCCCACCCCAGTTACATAGCCATGCCTGCTGTCAGTGTGCCTATGGAAATGCCTAATCCTTTCCTGAATGAGAAAGTAAAAGTTACCACCCACCTACTGTAGTCCTTGCCCCTTTCCCTTCCCTTGCAGGAACGTCTGGCAGGCAGACGAAGGGCTTTCCCTATTGGTTCAAAGTTAACTGTTTGCCCACGAAAGAAGTTTCTCCCTGTTCTGCGTGCAGCTGATCCCAGAGCCACATGAACTTGGACTCTCTGCCTGTCTCCCCTCCACTCCCTGTGCCCAGCAGACAGGATGGGGCTGGAGCTCTACCTGGACCTGCTCTCCCAGCCTTGCCGTGCCATCTACATCTTTGCCAAGAAAAACAACATTTCCTTTGAGTTCAAGCATGTGGAGCTGTTCAAAGGTGAGTGAGGGGACCTGAGCCCTCCTGCCCCTCTGCACCCTGCCTCCCCCAGGGGCTAAGTCAGCTCTGTGCCTGTGAGTCCAGGGACATGTCCTGCACTTGCAGAGAGGGAGCTTTCCTGCCTATTTCTCCATTCTCTCAAGCCCTAGAGGCTCGTGATGTCTGATTTTCCTTTCCCACCAACACCTGCCCACAAGGGCTGTACATTTTCTTCCCTCCTTTCAGAGCTTCCCTATACTTGGGAGTTTCCTGAAACAGCCATTCTGGGATAATCATTTTGTGTGTAGACAAGCCATAAGTAGCTTCCTAGTAATGTAGAGGATAGGAAAATAAGCTGAACTCAAAATCTGGAACGCCCTTTTCTGGTGAGAGGGAGACTTTATAGGAGAGGGAAGTCTGGGAATTGAGTAACAGAGGCTGCAGGTTCAGAAAGGGACAGAGCCACGCTGAGGTCAAATTTTGGAAGCCTTCTCAGTTGGAGGTATTGGAGAGGGCCAGATGTTTGCATGGGATAAGTCTGTAAGGGGTGGAGCAGTTTCCCCTGGGTGAAGTGAGAGTGTGTTGACAGGTAGTTATAATGTCTGTGGGTGGCACGTACATTTTTTTTGGGGGGGGGGGCTCAGCTTGTGTGGGAAAGTAGGAGATGCTAGAGATTTTAGGGAGGGTTGGAAGCATCTTGGGAGGTTTGCAGGAGCATGGCTTTTCTTCAGGTGGGGAGAAAGTAGCCTCATCTAAGAAACTCCCTTGCATTTGCCCCTTCTCTTGTCCCTTTGTTCCAGATTCCGTTCTGGGCAGGAGAACACCAGGAGGCAATAACCCCGAGCAATCTCACGCAGGTAAGGGCCTAGTTACAGTTAGCTCCTGCATGGCATGAAAATCATAATGAACTGCTTCCTCTTTCCATTGAGGCTTGGGGGCCCAGAATTGGCTTCCCCACCCACCTGCTCTTCCTTGCTCTTTGCTGCCTTCTTTCCTTCCCCAGCATCATCTTGCAACTTTCTTTTCCCTGGAGTTGTGCTCAGAGAGCTCCAGCCCTGATGCCTGCCCAGCTGCCTAACAAGGCTTACAGCCAGTCTGCAGGATGGTGCCTGTCATCAGCCTGACACACCAGGGTCCTCTCCCACCACTGGAACAAACAGCCAAGAGGCATCTTGGAACTGTGTACAGGATCTTTAGCCTGAAA